GTGCCCTGACCAGGGACTGAACTGGCGAGCTCTTGGTGCATGGGTTAATGCTCAACCACTGAGCCACACCAACCAGGCTTGTCACTTTTATTTAGGTAGAAATCCTAGTGACAAACTAAGTGGTCATACCTCCTCATCTACTAGAGCATCTAGTATCTTTCTTCCCCTAAGATTTTACTTAAAATAGAAACCATCACTACTCCCCATTCCTTTATAGCTAAACAACTAAAGATCTCATTTTGAAACTACCAATTTTAATCAGCTTAATGAACTGAACAACTAACTCGGCCCTACCTTTCACAAGCCAAGAAAATATTGCAGACTTGGTAAATAGTAAGTGAACATTTAAAATTTGTTTTATATCAGTCCCACACCCCAATAAATTTGCATCCCCATTCTGAATGGGAACCCTTAAAGTTGAATTTAACTATTATTTTGTGTCTCTGTCAATGTAAGAAACATTCAAATCTGTGAAAAATGTTTATAAGTTTATTTGAGCCAAAACTGTCACCAATTGCTAGGAAGAAAAACCTCAATGGATTGAGATAATGCTCCAGAAAATAGTAGTTTTGCATCTTATTTAATACATTACAATCAAAAGAGCAGACACAGGTGAGTTACATGAAATGCACTGGTGAAAGATTAGGGAGGTGGGAAAAAGCAAAGCAGGAAAACCTCTGGGACTGGATGAAAAGTAAAATGATAGACACATCTTTTACATAGGTGGGTACAGGATAGCTAAGTCAACAATCAACTCAATGAGGGAATTTGTGGTCTCTGCAGAGTGGTGCCTGAGCTTTGAGGGATCCAGAGACAGGGAAATTACTTTGACATTCCAAAGATAGGTTATTGTAGATGCAAAAAGACAACAAATTGGCTCAGTTAAGGTAAAGATTGACCTTTGTCAGGGAATATGCCAGCCTAGGACAAGACATAAACTGCTTTTAGTTTAAAAGTTTTAATTTCAGACCATCCTTTGTGGTTACTTTAGGTCTTTGGAGTTTGCAAGGCTGCCATGCAGGCCTTACCTGAGCTTGTCATGTTGCTATATGGCCCCTTTTCATCCACATCTCTATAGTTAGGGCTTCACATTAAATTATATTTCATTATTTCCTAATTAGAAACTTTTCCCCTAGAGTAGAAAACATATTTAAGAATTAAATAAACTAGCACTTCACATAAAATTGGGATTTCAGATTTTTAGATGCAGTCATTTCAATAATGGGAAATAGCACATATCAGACCAACCTTCCTGCTGATCACAATTACAAACTCTGAATTAAATGTTTTTCCTCCCCTAAAGTAACAATACTAGATAAAAACCAAGTAGACAGAAGGTAGAGGGGAGGTGACACTCAAGATTAAGATTAGCACTGGATGAAACTCCCATTTCTAACAACTTTTCACTTGACGGGCAATCCCAGTAGGTGGCAACTTGGGCAGAAGCCATGTTTTACCGGTTAAAGACTTGGAGGACAGCCCTGGCTGATTCAGCTGGTGGCCTGTGAACTGAAGGGTTGCAGGTTCAATTCCGGTCAAGGGCACATACCTGAATTGCAGATTTGATCCCTGACCCTGGTTGAGATCATGCGGGAGGAAACCAATCAATGCTCTCTCTCACATTGATGTTTCTCTCTCTCTCTCCCTCACTCCCTTCCACTCTATTTTTTAAAAATCAATTGAAAAATATTCTTAGGTGAGGATTAACCAACCAACCAACAAACAATAAGAGTTGGAGGATAGAATTTAGGGAAACCACAGCAACTGAAATAGGGAAATGCCAGAAAAGAGAAGCACAGGAAAGCACCCCCCCCCCCACTGCAATTATGTATACACTTGGCCTAATCTCTGGTTGACCAGTAAACTACACATACATGAAACAGACTTCAGGCATCCAAGTAAAAGTAAAACAAATGAGTGGAGATCTCAGCTGCTGTCTCCCACAAAGACAAGTTTGGAGTGGAGATCAGCCAAGTTAACTGCCTACTAAAACTAAAATTCAGATGTATGTAACACAATCCAGAGTCTTTACATTGTATCATTTATAAGAATCATATACAATCCAGAACCACTGGACATAATAAGTAAAAGGAAAATGTGAGCCATATATAATACAATTAAAACTTGAAAAGTAATACTAAAGATTCTCCTTTTAGATATGATCAACTGATGTATCTTATTCTATATAGCTCTCTACTGATAAATTACATTCTCCAAACTTTCCTTAAGACTATAATAACCTTGCCCAGCTGGTGTGGCACAATGGTTGAGCATCAACCCATGCATCAAGAGGTCACGGGTTCAATTCCCGGTCAGGGCACATTCCCAGGTTGTGGGCCCCATCCCCAGTGCGGGATATGCAGGAGGTGGCCAATCGATGTTCTTTATCATTGATTTTTCTATCTGTGTGTCTCTCTCTCCCTTCCTCTCTCTCTAAAATCAATTAAAAACAAATTTTTAAAAAAAGACAACTGCCGTCTCTCTTGGCATGCTGGGGGATGGTGCAATGCAATGAACTACAGACACCGCTTGTAGTGAGGGGGAGCATTACAAGGGAGCGAAAGCTCCAGATCTCTGGATGTAGCCCAATTTATTTGCAAAGTAGTTCCCCAGGTTACATGGTGTTTTAGGTAATTATTTCCTTCAGATGGCGTTTCTGTTGACCATACAGCCAAGCCCAGTATATTTCCTGTCTCTCACTTTTTTCAGCAGAGAAACATCAAAGGACATACAAAAAAAACAACAAAAAAACATTCTCACCTGGGCTTTCTTGCCCATTGTTCCTTTTGGGGGTGGTGTTCCTGCCCTTTGACATGAAAACCTTATCTATTCACATATATACAATACACTCAGTTCAGAAGGGTGGTGTTCCTATCCTCCAGGCAAACCTTATCTATCCACAGGCATACTTTGATCCTTGGCTGGCCAGATCAAGGTTACATTTTGTTCATCCACCAAAGCCCCAACCCTACAACAATGACCTCTAAATTGCAATCAAGTGAATATGTAGTTTGTATATTTAGACTATTTAAAAGTATTTTTTTTTTTTTTTTGATTTTTAGAGAGAGAGAGAAACAACAATGAGAGAGAACACTGACTGGCCACATCCTGCATGTCCCCCACTGGGGATCAGGCCCATAACCTGGGCATGTGCCCTGAACGGGCATTGAATCAGCAACTTCTTGGTGCATGGGTTGATGTACAACCACTGAGCCACACCGGCCGGGTGCATATTTTAGACTTTAAGACAGTTTATTTTCCTCTTTAAATTTATACTATCCCAGATTTGAGAACTACTTAATCTAAAATGATTTTTTTTTAAAATATAATCCTCACCTGAGCATCTTTTATCTATTTATCTTCAGATACAGTGGGAGAAAGAGAAAGGGAGAGAGAGAAACATCAATGTGAGAGGGACACATCAACTGGTTGCCTCCTGCACAACTCCAACCAGGGCCAGGGATGAACCACAACCGAGGTATATGCCGTTGGCCAGAATCAAACCCAGGACTCATTGGTACACGGGCCGATGCTCTACTGCTGAGCCAACCTGGCCAGGGCTAAAATGATTCTTTAGTTAATATATACAAAAGCCTATCTGTCATTTAACACTGTTATTTAAATATTTCAAGAAATGATCAACTTAAATATTTACCAAATAAAAGTTTTTGGCAGTCTTTAAAGAAACAGTCATTTACCCAGCCAAGAACATAATGAAATCTACATAGTAAAAGACAGCAGATTAAAGATCCCAAAAGTATAAGCTAAACAGCCTGGCCAGTGTGGCTGAGTAGATTGAGCATCATCCCATAGACTGAGAGGTCCTAATTCGATTCTTGGTCAGGACACATGCCCAGGTTGCAGGCTTGGTCCCTGGTAGGGGGCGTGCAGGAGGCAGCTGACTGATGTTTCTCTCTCTCTTTCCGTTCCTCTCTAAAAAATCAATACAAACACTTTTTTTTTTTTAAAAGTACAAGCTAAACATTTAGTAGGTATCACTAAAACAGATGGAAGGGTAAATGACCTTTTAAATGCTTTAATACTATGATGTGGGGAAAAGATACATCCAGGCTTATAAGAGCTATAATAGAGTGTAAGCCCTGGTCAGGTGACTTAGTTGGTTGGATCGTCATCCCATACACCATATTTTGAGTTTGATTCTTGCTCAAGGTACATACCTAGGTTGTTGGTTCAATCCCAGGTTGGGCGTGTATAGGAAGGCAATTGATGGATGTTTTTCTCACACTGATGTTTCTCTCTTTCCCTTCCTTTCTCTCTCTAGACCCTCACCTCCACCCCCCAAAAAACATATTCTTCGGTGAGGATTTAAAACAAAAGAATTAAGCTTACAACAGAATATTATGCAGCATGGATGGACCTGGAAATTATTATGCTAAATGATAAGCCAGTCAGAGAAAGACAAGTGTCACATGATACCACTTATATGTGGAATTGAGTGAACAAAATAAACTGATGAACAAATAGGTCCAGAACCATGGAAGTATAGAACAGACTGACAGATCTCAGAAGGAAACAGGAGGGGGGGTGGCAGAAAGAGGTTAACCAAAGAACTTACATGCATATGTGCATAGTCCACTGACATACACAATAGTGCTGTGAAGGCCTGGGGTGGGGTGGGAGGCCGGTTGAAGGGGAAAAAGAAGGGAAATGTGGGGGACATCTGTAATCCTCTCAACAATAAAAAAAAATATTAAAAATACACACAAGCAGCAGTCATAAAAGAATTCAGACCATCTTGATATCCATTTAGAATAAATGAATATTTAAGAAATGTTTATTTTCACATCTTCATTTCCCACTGTAATACATGAGTTGCTATTTAATATTTGAATTTAGCAGATATACCTCCTTAATTTGGTTAATTATATACTTCAGACTACACACCTCAATGGTACCTTAAAAATTTAAACACATAAATTCTACCTCTAAACTGCAAGAATTGGGGATTTAATAAACCAATGAGAGACAATCATTTTTATTTACAAGAGTTCAGTTCATACATATTTAAATCTTATTCTAAGGACTGACTCATGTCCAATATGAAAACCAAGTTTAAAATAACTTGATGACTTTGCTTCAAACACAGCTGGTCACATACCATAATCTAACTCCATCCATGTCACGTAATAGGTAAATCCAACTTTCCTGTACCAGAGATAAAAGCTACTTAACATACACTCAGGGAGGCTGAACCTTTCACAAAGAGCATAGAAATAGGCATTGAATTAATTTTCCAGGGTGTTACTATAAGTAGCTTTTCCTTTTGCACTATGAATGTACTAAAACAAAATATTACATTTATTTAAAATATATATATGAGAGCATTCCATTCTGTCCAAATCTATTAAATACCTTCCAAAAATTTCACAATTCAGTCCTAGAAATTCTTGGAGCTATGAGCATATCCTGTTCAGAAATGTGATCTCTATAAAAACTCCCAGGAAATTTCAGGAAAATATATATAATCTTCTAATTTAAAAGTTGATGGATTTGCCAAATGATGCAGCCAGGTTTGCTTCTCTAAAAGCTTCTGATAAGGTCTACAAGGGAAGAAATTTAATATTAAAAATCAAGGACTTGTGAGTCAGAAGAAAATTTAGTACCCATTAATTGTTATGTTGTTAATAATTACCGGATGCGCATGACAGACTCTAGCTATATCTTCACAGGATGCTCCATATTCCAATGCAAGAGCAGCTTCATTTACCATTTCACCAGCACCCTTTAAAATAGTAAGCCAAGAAGTAATTTAATTCCATAGCAAAAACAACTACACACTAATGGGACAGATTAGTTGTAGCAGTTAATTAACTTCCTCTAGTCAGGAAAAGCTTAACTAACTTCCTCTAGTCAGGAAAAGCTTAATAGAAAAGGTGGCACAGCCTGGCGGGTGTGGCTCACTGGTTGAGCATCGACCCATGCACCAGGAGGTCGCTGGTTCAATTCCTGGTCAGAGCACATGCCCAGGTTGTGGGCCTGATCCCCAGTGGGGGGGGCATGCAGAAAGCACCCAATCGATGTTCTCTTTCATCGATGTTTCTATCACTCTCTCCCTCTCACTTCCTCTCTCTCTAAAATCAATAAAGAAAAAAGAAAAGGTGGCACAGAAGTCAAGAGCTTGGGCTCTGGATTCAAATCATACTACTACCTCAACCACTTAATTCCACTTATTTGCCTCAAAAATGAGAACAGTGATTCCTACCCCCAGAGTTGTGAAAATTAAAGTTAATTCATGTACTTAGGAAAAATTACAGAGTAAGCACTCAAATGTTCTATTATCATTACCATCACATCAGATACATAGGGGGAAGGCGTGCTTCAGATTCAGTGGTAGAAAAGGCTTCTCCTAGATTCTAAGACTTAGAAGGTAACTCTTGAGCTGAGACATAAATAATAAAGGAGCCAATGACACAAAGATCTAGAAGCAGACCATTCTAAGCAAAGGGTACTACTATAAACACAAAAGCTCTAAAATGGAAAAAAGTATGACCTGTTATGAAATTGAGAGAAGGCCCATGAGACAGGGAATTAACAACCAAAAAGAGTAGAAAAAGATGAGATCAGAAAGGTAGGCAGGTCCAGATTTAGTGAGGACTTATGTGGAAGTCTGCAGTTGAAAAGAACCATTGGTGAGTTATTAAGCAGGCACACGGATAATCACAGCTGTAGTGTGGAAAGCAGAGGATATGGTGGGATACTGCTGGTACCATATTCAAATTTTACTGGTAAATATAACCTCAGAATGTAAACACCTGGTGATTTTAAATCAATCTACTAAATAGCAATGCTTTCCAAAATTCCTAATATAATTTCTGGTTTTACAATACTCACTGGTCCTAGAATATGTGCTCCCAATACTCTGTCTGTTGATTTCTGCCCAAGAATCTTCACCATGCCATCTGTGTCAGCATTTGTCTTAGCTCTGCTGTTAGCAGCAAATGGAAATTTCCCAACTTTATACTCAATACCCTGTAAGAGAGAAAATGACAACCTACATCAACTCTGAAAAAGTTTATCCCATTAGTGAAATCATCTACCATTTGTTCAGAAAATAAATCCCAAGAAAGTATTCTTCACAGAACATATAGAAGGAAATACCAAAAAGCTCATTAATGAAATATATTTTGCTATAAACACAAGCAAATGAAAATCTTGGTCTATCTGTGTATATTTCAAAGCCAAAAGGAAAAGCTTTGGAAATACTGGTTTTTGAATACAGGCAAGTGAATGATCTCCTTCATGATACTGAGGAAAAAATATATAAACTAAAGTATAATGTTCTACATAATAATTAAAATGCAGTAATATATCACTTGGCTGGTGTAGCTCAGTGGCTGAGCGTCGACCCATGCACCAAGAGGTCACCAGTTTGATTCCGGGTCAGGGCACATGCCCAGGCTGTGGGCTCGATCCCCAGCAGGGGGCATGCAGGAGGCAGACAATCAATGGTTCTCTCTCACATCAATGTTTCAATATCTTTCTCCTTCTCCCTTCCTCTCTCTAAAAATCAATAAAAATATAATTTTAAAAATACATATATTAATAAAATAATTCTCAACCGTGTCACTAACTCAATTCACACACTGAAGTAAAACTACCCTACTTCAGTATTACCTCTTCTTTCAATTGCTCCTCTGATTTGCCAACCCAAGCCACTTCAGGGTGTGTGTATATCACTGATGGTACACAATTATAGTCAATGTGCACAGCACCACCAGCCATTCCTTCAACACAGATAATGCCTTCATCTTCTGCTTTGTGAGCCAGCATTGGACCAGCCACCACATCACCAATAGCATAGATACTACAACAGAGGTCAAAAGAAACAGTAAACTTCTGAAATCACAGATACTCATCTTCAGTTATGCCATGTTCATAAAATTAAAAGCTTCTAGTTATTAAGTCACCAAAAAAATTATATTAAATACTGGGTTCTAATTTTAGGTAATGAAAAAATTCAATTAATTATTTTGCTTTCATATATAATTTAGTATTCTCCCCCAAAGTCAATGTACTTTTTAAGCATGACAGAAATCTTTTCAAAGTAGAGTTTACATAAACTTTAAAATTATTGAAAAAGCAGATTACTATGCAACTTACTTTGGAATTTTAGTTTGGAATCTGGAATTGACTGGAATTCTACCTTTAGGATCTAGTTCGATGCCCAGTTCTTCTAGTCCCAAATTTTGAGTAAAAGGTCGTCGGCCAATGCAAACCAAGAGTACATCACAAGTGATAACTTCAGCTTTACCACCAGAAGCAGCTTCAATACTAGATAATGAACAGTGTTATAACTGTTAAACCCACATCTACATAAATAGCTGATAGACTCAGAAATTTTAAGACCAGATATTTCTCAAGTATTGTGTAAGTTTATTTTATTATAAATATAACAAGGATCAGACAATGAAAAAATGTACGTATTCTCTTGAGGTCTATCACTAACATCTTACAAAAACAGACAGTGTAACATGGGTTAAGAACATAGGTCTTAGAATAAAAAAGATTCAAGTACAAGCAATGACTCTGTCACTCACTAACTGGGTGACCTGAGGCAAGTTATTTCATTATATTATAAAAGTGTTTAATAAACAGAGTGCCAGGCATAAGGTAAGCAATCTAATTAATATTACTGATTGCCCCAAATACCTGTCTAAAAATACTGAATTAATTTTACTGAATGTTGGGAGTTCAAATTTTTCTGAACGTATATTATGAAAAAGTACATTACATCGAAAAGAACACTGGATTTAATTTTTCTACCAGCAACTTAATTACAAATTTCAATAGGCTGATTTAATAAACAATACCAAGTTATACTAAGCAATAAAATGGTCCTTAATTATAAAATAATATAATATTATAAAATTACAAAATACTAAAAAAATTAACGTTTTTCTTAAAGAAAAAGACAAGGATATCATATCTAAATCAAATGTAGTACACTTACGAAACATCAATTTTTCCATCTGACTTCTTGGTAGCACCAGTAACTTTTGTATTCAATTTAAATTTAAATCCTTGCTTTTGAAGGATGCGTTGAAAGTTTTTGGATATCTCCATATCAATTCCAACTCCACCAACATGTCCCAAAAACTCAACAGCTGTCACATCTGCACCAAGTCTTTGCCAAACTGAACCCTACAAATAACAATAAAGAAATCATAAAAGTAAAGATTTTGTTTACTGAATAATATAGGAAATGCTTACTGAATTACATTAAATAATTTATTATAAGAAATTTTCTTTTCTTAATATGTTCCTATTAGAGGCTCTGGGTTTAAGAGTAACACTGTGATAAATATAACTTATTATTTTCTATTCGCTCTAGTCATTCAAAACTTATTGAGCACCTACTATATGCTAGGCACCATTTTAGGTGCTAGGCATACATTGCTTCAGGAACCTTATATCCTGGAAGAGGAAACAAGTAAAAATCATAATGAGGATAGTAAAGTGCTATGAGAAAAATAAAGCAGTAAGTAGAGCTAAGACTACTGAAAGGAAAGGAACTGCAATTTTAAATAGCATGAGTGGGGGAAGGCCTCACTAGCAGCCACATCTACACAAAGACTGGAAGAGAAGGCATGAACTATACAAGTAACTGGTCCAGGAAGAGAGGAACAAGTGGGAAGGACAGTCCTGAGGAGGAAGAAGTAGCCTCGTAATGCTACTAATTACTAATGCTTGCAAAATATTAATCTGGCTTCTTATTTTATTTTCTCAACAGAGAAATGTTTACTTTTTCATTCAAATTATAATTTAAACTGAATGCTGATTTTTTAAAAAGAGATTTTAACAATTACAACTTCTGAATACTTACATGTGAAACTGGAAAGAGAACATAAGTAACAAGCATACAGAAAAATTAACTCAGAATAGATCATGGACCTAATGTAAAACACAAAACCAAAAAACTTCTACTTTGTGATCTTGAGTGACACAAAGCTTTCTTAACGACAACATCAAAAGCATAATCCATAAAAGAAAAAAATGTATAGAAATTATAGAAATTATTCCTTCTCAAAGTTGAAAACTCCTCAAAAGACAATACTAAAAACACAGAAACAAGACAGTAACATCAGCATCACAGCGTGAGAAGACTCCTTGGTTTTCCCCTTGATGTTAGAAGTTGGACAACTAAAATTCAACAAATGATTCCCTGCTCAACACACAAACATGTCTGAGAGATCTATGCATCAAGACATCTGAAGGTGGATACAGTAGAACAAGCATGGAAGGCAGGAGGGGAGAAGAACAGAGATAGGGCTACTGATGTAGTCTAGCACCTGCTACAGCCTCAGGTGATGCAGTAGCATGGAAGGAGTCAGAATGCAGCCCTAACACGGTAGCCCACAGAGCCAGAGGGGCAGAAGCAATATTCCAGCCTCAGTGGCCAGCAACCACTACAGTTAAACCTGATGACAAGAGTGGACATGCAGTGAAGCGATGTGGTAGCAGCAGACTAGTGGCCACCACTATCAGACCAAAGCTATAGACTCACAAGCCCCTCTCCCATCCCCACCCATCATAGTGAAACCTGGTAGAGGCAGCAGAGATGCCTCAGATAGCACAGCTTGGTTGGCACTGGTAACTCACAGGCCCAGAGCCCCATCACCAGCTATATTCCATCACAGGGATAGTAACCTAAGAACAAAGCAACCCGGACACAGAGAAGATGCCCACCTCCACAGGTAATATGAAGCATTTTTCTAAACCAAGACCACACCAACTGAGACCTCAGAGATGCCAGTATTACTGGTAAGAAAAAACAAAAACTTGCACTATAGCACCATCTACTGGAGAACAAAAGACAGATCTCAACCTAATCTGCTAATTCTTTACAAACTGAACAGCACCAAAAAAGAAAAGTTCACTACCTCAAATGACCAGGCAGAGAAACAATCTGTCGAGTACCATAAATATCCAAGGTAACAGGGTAGCTCAGAATGAAACTGAAAAGTCCCAGAAACCAAACTCAGAGGCATGGAAGACTGTGATTTAAATGACAGAGAATTCAAGACTGCAGTTATGAAAAAAACTCAGTAAGATACAAACACAGAGAAGCACTTCAATGAGCTCAGGAAAAAACATCAACAAAGAAAAGGAGTACTTAAATAAGAGACTGAAACTATAAAAAAGAACCAAACAAATTTTGGAGCTGAAGAACTCAGTAACTGAGATGAAGAATGCACGAGACAGCCTGGAAAAAAACAGACCAGTTGGAAGAGAGAATTAGCCAGCTTGAAGACAAATCTAGAAATTACTCAAGAGGAAGAAGAGTGAGAAATAAAAGTTAAAAAAAAAAAAATTAAAGGGCAATACAAGAACTATCTAACTCTATTAGAAAGATCAACATAAGGATAATGGGTATACCAGAAGGAGAACTGAGGAAGAAAGAAACAGACAGACTATTCAAACAAACAATCGATGAGAACGTTCCAAATCTAGCTTGTTCAACAAGAACACCTTTCTCGATGCAAAAAGACCTTCTCCACGACACACTATTAAAAAACTGTCAAAAGTTAAGGACAGAATTCTCAAGGCAGCTAGGGAGAAAAAACTGCAACCTACAAAGAAAATCACATTAGATTACTATGGATTTTTCAACAAAAACTTTACAAGCCAGGAGAGAACAAAATGAAATATTCAAAATATTGAAAGAAAGAAACAACCAGTCAAGAATAATATATTCAGCAAAGTTATTCTTTAGATCTGGAAGAGAAATAAAGGCTATCCCCGACAAAAAAAGAGCTGAGGGAATTTATCCCAAGACTTTCATTATAAGAAATATTGAAAGGAACTCTTCTAACTGAAACAAAAAATAAAATATTTAAAACTTTGAGTCAGATGCCAGATAGAAGCAGGAAATTGCAACTCTATTTCAGAATAGAGTATTAAACACCTAATTCTAATATAAAGATTAAAGGGGAGCCCTGGCTAGTTTAGCTCAGGGGAGTAGCGGGTTTGATTCCTAGTCAAAGGCACGTACCTGGGTTGCAAGTTCAATCCCCAGCCCTGGTCAGGGTCATGTGGGAGGCAACCAATCTACGTGTCCCTCTCACATCGATATCTATCTGTCTCTAGCCCCGTCACTCCCTTCCACTCTAAAAAAAAAAAAAAAAAAAAAATCAATGGGAAATATCCTCATTCAAGAATATTTTTTCCATTGAATTTTAGAGGGGGGGGAGAGAAAGAGGGGAACATTAATCAGTTGCCTCCCATACATGCCCCGACCAGGGCAGGACTGAACCTGCAACCCAGGTACACGCTCTTGACCAGGAATCTTGGACCCTTTGATGCACAGGCAGGTGCACTAAACACTGAACACACTGGCCAGAGTAAGAAAAACCTTTTTTAAAAGACTACAAAAATTCTGCAATTTGGAAACAAACACACAGCATAAAAAGGGATGATTTGTAACAACAAAAGCATAAAAGGAGAGAGGAAAAGGATTGAACTTGCACAGGCGAATGAAGATTAAGATGCAATTAGAGCCCTGGCTGGTTTGGCTCGGCAATTAGAGCGTCGGCCTGTGGACCAGACAGAAAGATGCAATTAGAAGAAAAAGGACTACTGTATGTATGATGAGATCTGGCATGTTAAGGGTGGTATGGCCATAGATACTACTGTATGTATGAAACTTTTTTTACATAATTTTAATGGTAACCACAAAACAAAAAGCTATAGCTGAGACACATAGCATTAAACAATAGGAAAAACATCACAGAATAGCAACAAACTAAAATGGCAGACAGAAACACAAAGGAAAAGAAGATCTGGGGAGGGGCAGGGGGCCAAGGAGCAAAAAATCAGAAATATACATAATACTCTCAACAATAAAAAAATGAATTAAAACAAAAAAACAATAGAGATACAGAACTAGAAAACAAACAATAAAATGGCTACTGTAAGTTCTCATATATCAATAATCACCCTCAATGTAAGTGCACTGAACTCACCAATCAAGAGGTACAGAGTAATGTTGGTGGTCTAGTGGTGAGCATAGCTGCCTTCCAAAAGGCACAGTAGTGGAATGAATTAAAAAATAAGACCCAACTATATATTGCCTTCAGGAGACCCATCTCAGCTGCAAAGACAAACACAGGCTCAAAGTGAAATGGAAGATGAAACTCCAAGCAAGTGGCATCCAGAAAAAAGTGGGTATAGCCATACTTATATCAGAGAAAAACAGATTTCAACAGAAAAAAAGTAATGAGATAGAAATTGACATTTATAATGATAAAGGGGACACTTTGTCAAGAAGATATAACACTTATCAATTCATATGCACCCAACCTGGGAGCATCAAAACTTATAAAGCAATTAACAGACCTAAAGGAAGAAACTGACAAAAATACAATTATGATTGGGGACCTACATACCCCACTGACAACAACAGATAGATCATATAAGTCAATAAGGGGATATTAGCCATAAATAACTCTAGGTCAAATGGGTATAATAGATATTTATAAAACTTTCTATCCCAAAACAATAGAATATACATTATTCTCAAGTGCACATGGAACATTCTCAAGGACTGACCATATGTTGGGACACAAAACTAATCTTGACAAATTTAAGATGACTAAAATCATACTAAGCATATTTTCCAACCAAAATACTATGAAACTGGAAATTAACTATAAGAAAAAAGCTAAGAAAACCATAATATGTGGATATTAAATAACATGCTACTGAACAACTATTGGGTCAAAGAAGAAATAAAAGGTAAGATCAAAAGATAGAGACAAATGAAAATGACAATACAACATACCAAAAATTGGGGGGATGCGTAAAAGCAATACTAAGGGGAAAGTGAACAGCATTACAGGTCTACCTCCAGAAACAAGAAATATCTCAATCTTTATGCCTTAGAAACCAGAAAAAAACAGAACTAACAACAAGTGAAGCCTAAAGTCAGTAGAAGGAAAATAAAAATTAGAGCAGAAATAAATGAAATAGAGAACAAAAAACAATAGAAAAAAATTAGTGAAACAAAGACCTGGTTCTTTGAAAAGATAAATAACACTGACAAACCTCTAGCTAGACTCAGCAAGGAAAAGAGAGAAAAGACTCAAATAAAATCAGAAATGAAAGAGAAGTTACAAGGAACATCACAGAATTATAAAGGTTTA